AGGGGTCACGCAAGATGTTGTATACGGTTGCCCCCTGGGACAGTTTAGTGGTGGAAAAGAGGTTGATTTGAGGAAGAAAACTAGGGCACCAAATAGATCATCATGAAGCTCTCTAATATGTACAAAAAAGTGCAGCAAATACGAGGAGAAAAGAGAATCAGCATGAATTTTTTTTCCTCGTGGCTCATTGAGTTCTTGGCTTCAGATTGAGTTTCTGCTCCGTTGCTCGAGGGTTGAAAAGTAAATTACAATTGCCTCAGTCCACGAAAAGAATTTTAAAAGATTTATAAATCCATTCAGGGCACAAAACGCTGTTGTTTACATTTTGTTTGCTATTCCTTTTGTTTTGGATATTGGCTGTCACCCAAGTATTTTCTTTTTCCCTTTGCAATGTTGCAAGAAAAAACCTGCAACATCAGTTCTGCAGATGTATCTGAAAGTTCAAGTCCATGTCAAGTCCCATGATAACAGTACTGTACATAGATATCTGGTATACATGTTCGTGTAGAGTCGTTGTACATGGATATTTCATAAATGTACATCGTATATGTGCTCCTCTAATTGCTTAAGCCTGATGCATATCTTGCCAGCTGTTGATATCCATTGCAGCAATGATTCAAATCTGTCCAAATACCTGGGGACTTCGTCAACCTTTTTTTTTTACCACACTTTGCGTGACCACACGCATATCGGGGAAGCACTTGTAATAGAAAAATGTAAGGTGTCTCTCGCATGTCTCTAGACAGGGGAAAAAAATGGAGCCAGTCTGGTTTACAACTTGAAATGTTGATCTTTTGATTGAGGAGAGCATCTGCGATTGTCAGTCATCAGTGCCGGCTTCACCGGCAATTAGCTCCCAACATTCAATCCATTCCCCAAGCCCAGAAGTTCAAGTTCCTCTGGACAAATCGCTGTCAATCATCCCCCCCCCTCGGAGTGTCGCGCACGGGCGGAACCGAAGCCAGTCTATCTTCAGTCAGTCCATTTACTTCAAACATTTACAGGCAGTTCATGCATTAAGGGGACCAGGGTAGAATGTCCGTATTTCTCCTGTCCTTGCTGTCCACTCATGTCTGTGAACTGTCCATGCACATGTACCCTGGTGCATGCTGCCGTGTCCGCACTGTGATCACTGAACCACAATTGAACCTTGCAACAGAGTTAAGCACTGGCTTTGTCATTCATTTTTCAGACATTCTGCCCAGAAGAGCAAGTGATATTGAAACAGAGAAACTTCAAGTTTTTTACATTCAGATGGAATGAAGCCCCATTCGTAGTTATTTCTTGCCTCACCCTTACAGTCCTAAATCCTCCGATTTCAATATGATTTTACCAACACCCTAGGGGGTTAGATTAAAGAAGATCTCCACCTCTCTTGTGCTTCAGAAGTCTAATGAAAGATTTGAATGTTGAATACAAGTTACCAGTACATGGACTGTATATCTTATGGGAATTTTTTTTCTTGTTTTGGTATGGTATGATAGGTGTATGGTAGATTTGCATGTACCTTTACATGAATATAACAAGATAGTTTATCATTCCATTGTTCTTAGTGCGTTAAAGCTGTGCATTGTTGTATTTAGTCCAGGAAACCTGACTCAAAAGTACATGTATATAGGAACTTGAAATTCATTATTAATTATAAAGAGTCTGGAAATATGGTTTGCGGGAAAAACGTTGTGTAAATTATGTTCCACATACATGTATTGGGAGGAGATACATGGACATGTACATGTAATTACTGGACGCACCATGGTACCAATAAGTGAATTTTTTGTTTGAAATATTGAGACATGCATGTATGTGGAAAGTGTGTCAAAATGTACATTTGTACGTTCCAGCCAGGATGCTCACGCCATCCTCAGGAGAGTGTGCCGGACTCAAGTGGAAAGCCTGATCATGGGAAGACCCTTTATACATGTACATGTATGTAGACTTGTTTTGGGTTTTATGATATACCAGTATACTGGACACTGGGCAGTTTTCAAACTGTTTAATTCATCATTCTGGGTTGTCTAGAAGTTGAATGATACTCTTGGGAAGCTATGAAAACCGGCTGACTTGCTTTTGAGAAATCAAGCTTGTGGAAGTGAAAAAAGAATACATGACTTCTGTGGAACAAAGAAAGGAAAATTGTGTGTGTTTACACGTCATCCAGTGACAGTTGGTCAACGATTGAAATTATGGCCAAAAAAAAAATCTAATCTCAAATTGTCCAAAAAACTGTTTGAAGACTATGTACATGTACATGTAGAAGTACATGTATGTTGCCATTACCTCCATAACAGGTTTGAAGAAATCTGATGGGCTTTCCTTGATCACATCACAAATGCCATCTGAAATATTGCTTGATCTACTTGTACATGTAGTTGAACTGCCAGGCACCTTCGTGCACATAAGGGTACACCATTACATGTAGGGTACACATTTTTGCAAGGACGTAGGAGCCAGACAACACAGGGTCAGTCCCCTGTCAAAGAGGATACAGATCGTTAAGTTTGGTAATTGGAAAGGGACCAGCTTATAAATGACACCGGTTTGTGGAACGTACATATGACTGATATCCAAGACCTACTGTGGGCGGGGGAATTAGAGCTGTGGGGGAACCTACCGGAAGGGTCAAATTTGCTGCTGTCAGACTTGGCTAAGGTTCCTCTCAACAGCACACAAACTGTACAAGTGCTACCATGGACCAATTCTCTATGGTACTGCATGTACATAAGCATGTACCAAATGTAAAGTGGTGCGTACAGATGGGTGTACATTCATGCTTGCCTTTTTTTTTTTGACTCAACATTTATTTTTTGTCCGTTTTGCAATGTATATATCAAGATATACCCAAGGTCAATAAATGAACGATTTATGACTACAAGAGGGAAAGTTAAATAAGACCATGAGACCTTGAAATACAAGAGGACAAATACATGTACATGTACGTGTCCATGATGTGGTTAAATGCATACAAGTTCACATTGAAACAGTTGCGTGTGGATCCTTTCCAGGAAGGTCTTACGGAAAAGGGAACTCCAAAGTACATGTACATACTCGTCCACATACATGTACGCTATTTCATTTACACTGTATATATACCGGGTCGTAGTATTGATTCCTTTGCCATGTATGCAGCTGCAGAAAATGAGGGACTCATGATGAATACACATTGTGCACACAGCTTTACTTTTCACCTCTAAATTGAAAAACGAAACAGATTTAAGAACCCATACTAGTACATGTGTATATATCCACAGGCCAAACCCAGCCAATCCATGGTTGTGTACTCTTTCAACCCACTGTAAAATAATTTTTAATGGCTGTGATTAATCCTTAAAACAACCAAGACCCAATGAGAGCCCCTTCCCCTCCAATTGTTATGTTTTGTACAGATTTAGACTACACATTTTTCCCCCTTCTTCTGTACTGTACAAACATACGGTACATGGACATGTATGTGCATATTCCACTTCAACCTAGTTCTTTTGTGGAACACACATTGTGTGACCAGACTTCCATGCTTGTTCACCGTGTGTACAAAAATCTAACCAAAGGAATTGGGGGGAATGAATTTGTTAGTTTAAACTAGGAATGCAGGTGTGCCTCTTTTCTCCATCTGCCAATTTCCGCATTGGCTACATGTACTTCCAGTGCATGCTGTGCTTGATTTCCTCTAAAAGCACAGTGTCTACAGAGAAACTTGTCTGCAACTTGGGGGACCTTGCTGTTTTCTGAGTTTCGTGCCTAACGAATGGTATATATGCACAGTGCCAGAGTTTGCATCGGCCCAGTTGAGCATTTCAAAGTGGCAGAGAGATCCAATATACACGTACACGAGGGCACATTTGTACATGCACCACGGCTTTGTGATAGTCAAATCCTTCCATTCCGTGCTTCCAAGCCGTGTCATCTCCAATCCTCTTAGTATTCCAGGTCCCCTCTTCCCATTTCTCCCTACGTACTTCTCTCCAGTCTTGTGCGGCCTTTCCAAATCGGATTCCAAGGATTCAAATTTCCAAATAAAGAAGGGGACAGATAACGCTATGCTTTTCAGGGGATATGGATTTGGAAACACTCAGACTAAATTGACAAGACGATATTAGTTTGTGTAAAAGCCTAGCTGAGAAATGTCAGCTGACAAGTTTGAAAGAAAATTTTTGAGAGGGATGTAGCTTTGTTGGAAAAGTTCTAGATTCAGGAAAATTCATGTTTGGTTTTGGGTGCGAATCCAGTCACTGCACATTGGCCTTCTTAATGTACTTTTACATTTGCATGTGTACATGTAAAGTCACCAATAATAGGCTTGCCAATAAAAGAGGAATCATTGATAAATTTTTACAAATCATTCAGGAAACTTGTTTCTTCAATAGGCCAAGGAGAGACATTCCCACCCCTAAAGTCATGCATCCTTGTTGGTAAATGCTGGGGGGGTCATATATGTACATACCAGTACTTATAGGTGGGATTTTTGTAAGCGTACATTATGAGTCAAAAAGAAGCCAATATGGGCAATTCGCAATATAGTGCATCATCTGGACGTTTGTCAGGGAAGAAGATATATGTATTTCGAGGAGCAGTTTTAAGTAATCCGTTCTTTTTTTCCCATTGCATGGAATGTCCCAATCGATCAAAAGTTTCCCCATGTTGTCTGCCAACAGACATGTACATGTACGCTCTAATGCAAATTGTGGCAAGGCAGTCATGCTGTTGTCGTCCGTGAAGTTAAACAATGGCCTCTCCATGGCAACCTCATGGTGGAGTACTACATGTGTATATAGTGAATCACCCCAATACTACTAAACACACTGTAAATTCAAGGGAATACTTCGTCAGATTTCCATTTGAGGGAGGGGGTGCCAAGTACGGGTAGAAGCTAGGATCCTGAATGAACTGAATGAAATGCCAGTTGGATAAAATTTTGAAAAAAAAATTTGCCAGCCTTGCTAGAGGAAAACATGTCGTGAATAAACCTGATGCTAAAAGACCTGTTCTGGATGTGTTGTTCACAGGTGCTATTGACGGGCGGAGTTGGTCTGATTGCCTGGAAGCAGCCGTCCTCCTTAGCCGTGAGTAGACCTTGTAATTAAAGAACCGTCTTGCTCGTCATCAGTGCCTGATGATGAATGGGCCAGCAGGCCTCTGCCTTAATTAGGTCTGCAGATAGGCTTTCCTGTTCGCGAAAAGGAGGGAAGACTATCTTGGTCACTATCATTGCTGATATGAATAAGTAGTATGTGGTTTAAATGAAATTAATTGGCTTGAAAGTATAAAAGGGAGAGAGGGACAAACTCAGTGTATGTCTTGAATTAGAGTTCCACTGGCGCTTACCAACTGGTCTACTGTTCCAAGTCTAGGTTCTGGTTGCAAAACTGCCAGTGTGTATTTGTAAGTATACACGTGGGTCTTTGAGGTGGAAATGTTTGTCTGATACGTGCAAATACACGTTCATACCGCCTTGAATTTACCGGTACTCTCAAGATGTTTCAGAACATGTTTTCTCTGCGTTTGTGGGCAGGCCTTCACCACGTCAATTGGAAGAATGAATTTGATAAGAATACAGGGACTGGAGTCTGGAGGAGAGAGAATTCTCCCCCTAAACATTTATGGTGCCCACGGTTTCAACACATGTTGAACGCACACAGCTGCAGTTTGTACCAGGTACACTTGTCGATTCCTTCCACACATTTGTTGAGGTATGAGGACCATTTGAATCCAACCAAGATGCTCTGATCATTTGATAGAAAATCTCTACTGCTGGAGATATTCAATGGCGGTGAGGTTTGGATCATGTTTTTTTTTTTTGCATTCTAGACTGAAATATTGGTCGGCATCGGCTAAGTATGTGCAAAACCAGCAAAGTAACTGGGCATAGAGAGTGTAATGAAATAACGTAATATATATGGCATATTGAGGCCTTTAAAAATTTACCAGGAAAAAGAACTGGCGGACAGGGCCGAGTCATCAAAAATTCAATTATGAACCCTTCATTACGCCCCCCCCGTGCACTGTCTTGTTTTGTTTTCCCAGCCACGAACAGCTGCGTTAGCCATTTGGAAAAATATTGAGAGCGTGCCTTACCTGGTCACTGGCAGCTAGATTGAGGGAAGAAAAAAAAAAAACTGGAGCGGGCAAATCTCGGGAGGATTCAGGACCCTGCCGACTTGTCCGCCGGACACCATTGAGTTTCAGTCGCGCTTTCCACTCCCTCCCCCCCTTTTTTTAGCACGCGACCAGCGCACCGTTGACAGAGTTTTGGAGATGGTTGGAATTGTTTTTCTCTCCTTGAAAGATCCCAACCATCTCGCGGGAACCAGACAGTTCCTTGGAGCTGTCGTCCAGGAGATGAGGAGTGGACGGTGTTCTTTCTTTTTTTCTCTTCCTGTCTTCCGCTATTTCTTTGCGAGGTTGTTGCGGCGGCATCTTGAGAATTTCACCTTCTGTCTGGAGGGGGACCTGGGGGCATTACTTATCCTTAATAGCAGTTGTCATTAACATGTCAGACGGACAATAAACCCACACCAATTTTCTATCACACATCATAATCGTCATCGAATGTATCATTTTCAGTCAGCATGCTCATAAGATACATACATGTATGGGAACTTTGCTACTTTGCAACTTTATGGTCCCAAATGAACCGCTCGTGGTGTACGGTAAGGTGGCATGTTGTTCCCTGCTTAGCTTGGTCTTTGGCAAATGTGTCGGGGATTTTTGTTTTTAGTAAGCAGGTTTATCTATCTCGCATGAAGTCTAGCTGCTGTACAGGTACATGTACCCCCCTTGCACTTCATTGGTGTACTGTAACTTGCTTGCGTGAATGCTATAATGTGCACACTGAATGGACATGTACACATGTTCCCAAGCAAAATGGACCGAGATGCATACCGGTATGCATGTGCATATAGTACTGTACACGATAGTGGATCTGTGGGCCTGTTACCTCCTACCGATAATTTGTGGATATGGTACTGGGCTAGGATTGGCTAGGGATAAGAAGTAGTTATATGTTTACATTCTTCCATCCCTTCTCCACCCCCTGCAACAAAATAAGACAAGTGGGTAGTCTGCATGTTTGTGCTGTTCCATCCATTCTGGCATTTCTGCCCAGGGTGCATTGCCAGTGAATAGACATGGTTCCTCACTGCTGGAACCTTGCGCACTGGGTGACATTTCATATACATATACACATACATGTACATGTAAGAATATGCAAGGGTACAAAAACAACTGGTTACAGGAGAGTACCAGTGTCACCAATTATAAACATCCTTGTTTTGGGGGGTGGGACCAATTGTGATGAGGTTTTCTTTCTTTGAGTTGTAAGGCTGAGAATGTGTTATCTCCAAGGGGGTTGATGTACATGTACTCTGTCGTTGCACACCTTCCCTCCTTGAAAGAAACTGCCAACATTCCGCGCGGACGGACTGTTGCAGTTGTTTTGGAGAAACCGGCTGTACTTGTGTAATGAGAGGTGAATAAGTGAATGTCAATCCCTCAGGAAATCCGCTACACAGAGGATGGGCAATCATTTAACTACTTGCACCTGCAGCCAGGGTTGCGGTAACTACTCTAACATTAATGAGTCCCTCGCTCGGAACTTCAATCAAGATGTCACAGAGGTCCAGACAGTAGCATTGCCCCATACAGCTGTTTTGCCCGTCAACTCCAGGATGTCAAGTTCTCCAGCGCTGAACCACGGCGGTCGTTCTGTAAGAAAGAGATACTTTTATCATTCAGTTGTCAAACCCCTAATGAGCAAGTTGGCAATACCGCTCATGTGTTTAATGGCTGTTAATAAATCCAGCATCGGAGGTTCAGCCTCCTGTGTGTCTACATTCGCATTCAGCGCCGACAGTAAATGAGAAGAGAACAGAGTCGGGGATGTAAAAGGAGCGTCGGCTGTCGGCCCGCGATCGCTCTTTGCTTGCTCGCTGGCGAGGCAAGCTGCATGCAGATGGGTGAAGATGTCCACGATGATGAACGTCTTGTGGATGTTGCATCCCTTTGCAGTGAGGCAGAAATAACAGATGGTTATCGGACTGTTTGTTCTCATTGCCCCATGCGCATGCTTCCTCTGGGCACGGAGCTTCGGACACCGTGCCAACGAGGGCCTTTTACCTGTACTGTGAACCTTTTGCTCAGAGGAAAGATTTGAGGTACATTTACAAATACATCACCTCATGGGGAACCCTCCATCAAGTCCGTGTAGAAAATTTGACTCGGTAACTTGAATGCACAGTACATGTAGATGTACATGTACGTGTATGTAGCATCCAAATGTACCATTTCCATGTAAAGTTAATAAGCTTTAAATTTTGCCCCCTGCACTTTGCTTAATTGAGCGGGGGAGAGGAGGGGGGGAGAAGACAGGTGAGAATATTTGTCCACTGAGCACTTCCCGAACCAAGAAATTAACTCCCTCCGCAATATCACCTGAGATAGCTGGAATCCCGTAGAACTTGATAAATGGAAAGGTACTCAGATCACTTTCCGCTGCGCCTCAAAAAAGGGATGTACATTGTACAATTGCAAAGAAATTTCCGGACCAGAAGTGGAGCAAGATCCCCTGGAGGGCTAATTTTGTTGTCCATTGTTACGTGGTTGTCAGGCCTCCCCCCTCCTAGTATTACAAATTGCTGCACTAGTAACCTAATTGGGGGGCAAGGAAGGGCAATTTGAAGAAAAAAGGGAAAGAAAGAAAAAAGCAGGGGCAAAAAAATGGAACGTGAATGGCATCCCATGCTCCTCATTCTTTGATCGGCTGTGCGGGCAATTTTGTTCACCCTGACCTGTTGCTGAGGGGCTGGTGATTCAGGCATGGTCTAGCTTTCCTGCGTACGTGTGCACACAGTATTTTCCCGTTTCGCCGGGGAAGACTGCACTTTCTTCCCCGTGGTCGGCCCGCGTATGTGTGTGTGCTCTTCACCTGAAGGAGGGATGCGTGACTCTGGTATAAAAGAGGGGGGGGTTGTAGTAGCTGGTGATGAAGAATTGAACTGTCATCACTTTTTTTCCAACAAAAGACTTGAGTGGTGGACCAGCTGCATGTACATGTGGGGGTTTTGTTGGAAGGTTTTTGTGGGAGGAGGGTGAGTGGAATTATAAATGCTCCGTTGATTTTGTGGCCGGAGGGGCCAGAGTTCGGCTGAGCGTGACAGGGCAGGTTGCAGGTGGTAATGAGAGTTGATGGGCAATTGATGGAAAGTGCCCTCCAGGCTGGCGGCCAAAAGATCTACCACATGTACATGTACAACCACACATATAGTGAATTATAGGATCAATATTTAAGTTCTCTTTGTTGAAAGCCTGAATATTCTGTGTAGAGAACAATTCTCCCCCCTTTCCCTTTATTAAAGTTTTATACAATGGGCTCTTGTGACAAGGACTTGATGCAGTGCCAATTTCACGATTCTATAGATATGGTTGGGGCAAAGAAATAGTGAATGGGCATGAGAAATTGCTTAAAATTGAGTACGGTGCTCTATGGAGAATGAGTTTCAAAGAATAGGGTGTATGCATGTATGTACATGTACATGCATGGCAGAAAAAAATTGTACCTCGTACAGAGATACGGGTACCGGGGACATGTGATGTGATGTTTTTTTCTTTCTTTTTTTCCAGACCTCTCCATAATGAGCTTGAGGTACCGTACCTTTTGTCTAATTGGCTCGCCCATGTGGAGTCATTCGTGACCCCACTGGCAGTAATTAAACAAGTTGTCACACACCCTGGGTGCAATGTGATTGATACCAAGGAAACAGCATCTTTCTCCATGGACATGTGTTCTTGTGGGACAAGGCTTTGCAAAATTATCCCCAGGTGTTACCAGTCAAATGAATGGCATCCAAGACCTTATATTATATACCTGTCTTCAGAAGAGCTGGCACATTTTAACATACATGTACGCAGCAACGAGTTATTGTTACAAATGTAGGGTGAAGCAGTGTGCCTGCAGAGAGGTTCATTTACACGTCATGCGCCGCACCCATGACCAATTTTGACGGGAATGTATGATCATGTACATGTATGTGCCCGTACCGTACCGTGGACATTACTGATGGTTCAA